CACTATGAGCCATGCCAAACGAAAACCAAGTGCTAGGAGACGTTCTCTGAAGAGACTTGTTGCTAGAACCAAGCGATGCCGTGACATGGTTCGTCTCCCTGTAGAACAGTCCCTCGTCAAGGTTTTCAGCAGCCAGATTCAGACATCACAGACGCTTAACCTGTTGGTGCGTGATTCCTTCGGCAGAAATAACGCTCCCTGTGTGTCTTTTAAAAGCTCCAGGAACATGAAGGATATCTATGGAGAATGTAGAAGGTTTGGTTGGCTTTAGGCACAACAGCCAATGAGAGGAGGCAATCCAGACATAGCCTAGGGTGGGGACCAAACGCTGCTCGCCATTTACACAGTACGGGTTACGTGCTCTGCACGGACAGCACTTACTTCCATACCTCTTCTTCGAGTCCTCAACCTAACCTTCCTCCAGCAAATGATATATATGCGCCTAGCATTCAACAATCCGCCTACCGGCGTACAGACATCCCCTTGCTGTGGCACGCAATTTGCTACGGGATAAAGGGATTTCCGGTTACACTTCACGCAGGAATGTCCTCTGAAAGACGATATCTCACATTCTCTCCGCTTATCGTCAGTTGGCTGTTCACGGCTGAATTTTCCAACAACCCCATTTTGCAGATGTAAGCAAGACCAGGGCTCTGCTTGAAGGACTGCTCATAGGGAGTCAGGCTCAATCCATGGTTGTGAAACCTTCTCCATCGAGAATGCCTTACTCGGCCTGTTGTTACGGCCAACTTAGCAGCTGTAAAGCATGTTTGAACACAGCCAAACTGCCTGCATATAGTAGGCCGACCAACATTCCAGACCAGATCAATGACTTCGCCATCTTATGATTTGGACTGGAAATCAGACTTAGATTTCCATCAATCAGTGGTTGGGTACTCTGTCTTTCTACTTGCTGGCGAGTCACAGCCTCTGCCAGGTTGTCTTCATCTCTGCTCCGCATGGTGGGCTGACCTGAGGACATTGGTCTACTGGACGCCGTTCCAAACCAAACTCCCACACCTGTCCAAAGACTGCACCATAATCACCCAGCAAGTTGCGTAAGGTAGCGAAGTACATCTTAATTGGGTTACCTCAAAACTTCATGTTCGGTTCCCTTGACATTAATGATTCCCGACATCGATCAATCCGGAAAAGAACGCTTGCTGTAATTGCTTAAAACTCTGGTTTTGTTAATTAATGCACAGGGTTTAGTTTTGGGCAAGAATGTAACACTGTCCACACGTACATCTTGATACTTTTCTTTCTAGTGTGTTTCCCTTGTCAAGGACCTTGACTTGGCTTTTCACAACTTATCCTCCCATACGCCTGGCAGAACCTATCAAAGGCCCAATAACAACTGAAAATGCGTCTAAAATTGTTAATTCAAATCTTTAGGGCTAAGGATTGCATCATCGGGGTTCACAAAACGTTGCAACGGTGTCCAACTGTACTGGAACAACCTACAAAATCCCGGCGTATCAACAGGTGTTTTGTTTCCCCCATATGCGCGACAAAACTCAGCCAGACGCAAACAATACTATCTCTAGTGCCATACAAAGTACGACTTGGACAATTTTTCTTACAGCCATAAAGAGCGCCGGCGGTTTTCGAGACAGCGTTGTGATGGCGACATGAAAAGCGCAGTAGTTGCCAATCAGGAAGCTCCTTTAAGCGCCAGCAAAGGCCAAGTCGGTAAGCACTCCCGCCTTGCCGTGGGCATACCAAGTCTATGGAGGTCGGAAAAACACCTAAGATATGGCTTACTTGCCAGTTTTGTGCTGAATAGTAAACGAAGTTGAGTCGGGTTTTGGTCGCTGAAGCTGTGTAAACATAAATGTTGCTGTTTTCCAGCCGCCGTTTCCTCAGCCAGTTTAAGAGCCACCATTGCAATTGAATACCTTGACAGCACCACGAGTGCCGCCAAGTTTGCCGACAAGGTTTCCGCACCAGAATCTCGCTTGTCAGTAAGATTCCTCTGGGCGCAATGTCACTAGTATATATCGTTTATTCTTATGGCATCTGAAAGGGAAATTTCATTCTCGTGTTATGCTCATTCCTCTTTACTTCAACACCATGCCCTTGCCGCATCCCTCCACCCAGTTTCGGGATAATATATATATGGTTCAGTCACATACATACTTACCGGCATGGTTGAGTTCATCAGTAGTAGCAGCAGCAGCAGCAGAAACAACCAGAAGAAATTCTTAAAAATAACACCCCTTTGTCTCCAGCGTTGAATCATTTGGGACAAGGGAATGAAGGCCTGATTGGAATGGGAAGTAAGTCCGGTCCAATCCGGTTAACCCTCCCATCTTCCAGTGCTTCTGTGTCTCCACATTCTGGCACCCAGGATATAAACTGAAGTTTCTTAACACCAACAGCGCCTCTTTGCAACCATGAGTGACATACTTAGCTCAATGTAAGGTGTATTGTGGCTAGTCCGAAGGGTACGTCAAAAACTGCAGCTGAAATACAACAAAGCTTTTAGCTCGAGAATTGATGTCAACTTTCCAAGATGCCAGGACGTCCAAGTACTTTCGAGTCTGGGGTCACCAGCAATACGTGCTTCAACCATAGTTCCATATTCGTAGATGCGCTCGCCAAGGAGTTATTCATAGACCTCCCGCATTGATATCGAGGTGACAGCGGCGATATGTCGACCCATTAGATCCCGAGATGCAATGCAAAGTCAGTTATTGCCATGGTTCACAAAAGCGGAGAGAGGTTGGACGACGTCGGTTGTGCTCTTTCACAGGCAAAAAAGAATACTTGACCGGGAGGAAACGCTCACCGGGCCGAACTGTTGAAGGGAGTCGAAGATGTCTTCATGTTGCACCTCATAGTCCCCTTGGTCGAACCTCAAGTGAGGATGATCGCCACCGCTGCGAACGTGGCGATTGTCCGTACCCTTCTGCCACACGATGGGCTTCGGAAAAGTGGTGGAATGGCGGGACCTCTCTTGATATCGCCGTTACAATCTCTCGTGGACTCGTTGACTGGCCAAGTTGGCCCGACTAGTTTGCTTACCACGGCCCCGGGACTCTTCTCGTCCGGCGAGGGATTTAGTTCTGGACTGTTGGCGGTGCTTTCTTGGCCGGGTCGCTAGTCCCAAGGCCCTATCACATTACCCTGTCTAACAAGTGTCAGTAAAAAGTCTCAAAAAACCTAACAGGCGCCACTGCGAACAACAAGTGGTGCCAGCTATTGTAAAGTGGGATGCGTCGAGATTGGAAAAGTGATTTCATCACACGGCGTCGCAGCAGAGCCAAGCCATGGATGGGATATGTGGTATAGCGAATTGCCAATTTCGTGCTTCGAGATTCTACTCAGATAATGCTTGTGTGAGATCACCTGTCTGGTGGAAACTGCAGCTTGCTCCGAAGTCCGAACAGGTCACTATCGGGTGCTTGTTTCTGGAAAAGTTCTGGCTTCGCAGATTCGCTGTGCTTCGGTGCATCACCAGGTGTGTTACGAGGCTTGTTTTCAGTGAAGATTGACGATGGGGTTATACAGCACAGAAAATCTCCCAGCCCAGTAAGGCGGGAACGCCAAATCACTTCTTCGATGGCCCGGCTAACCTCGGAATTCTTATCATCCGGCGGCCACAGACAATCAACCAGCCATCACATAGTTAATAATACCTGCACAGTGAACCCGGACATCTTCGGGCATCACAGACATCAGGAGGGATGCTCTGCAAACGTACACTATGCAGCTGAAGAGGCGCACTATGCGCGGCCAATCCCGAGAAGCCCCGCTGATAGCTGGAGCTTCCCCGCGCCCCGCCAAAAAGTTCTCGTCCGCCCTGCTTGGGGCTTGGGTCCCTGGAGCTTTGACAGGTACATAGCAGCGACTCCAACTGCTCTCGACAGCTGGGCTGGAACCCGAGACCAAGCTCACGGCCCCTCCGAGAAATCTTCGCAGGGTTACCGGCGGATCCAATCATTCGTAAACCAACGGCCGAGGCCCGACGTCATCGTTACCTACCGAGCCAGGAGCGAATCTAGAATTTTGCGTAGATTCCAGGGCCAGGCACGCGTGCCTGAGACAGAGCCGCTCTGGAGATCCACACTTTTCACCAAGTTCCATCCTGCCGATGCGGTCATTGCAGTGATGCATCGTGCCGGCATAAGAATCAATCCCTTTCTTGATCTCGCGATCTGCGACTTCTCCTAGAATCAGTTCATCGTGGGCAGAATTTTTCTCCGCCCCACTAGCGTATTTTCTATCTGCATGCTGCAAGAGCGCGGATAGCGAAGGCAATTTTTTGCGTCGTTTGCGTCTCTTTTGCTGATCTCCGGCTCGCCCTCCAACTTCCATTCATCTTAACAGTAGACAGCATTCCCTCGGTTCAGTCCAATTAGGAATTCACGTGGCGTGGGCGCGTTGCTGGGAGAAAACTGATTTGCTGGATCCCCTGCCTACACTTAGCCCCGACTCCAATCATCAGAATTAGAGGGGCCCGCTTGACGTAGGTCTTTTGATCACACGCAGCCTTGAAGCAAAGTGTGGGCTATCCAAAAACTACAAGATCTCGGCGGCTCATGTGAACACTTATTGCGGAGCACAAAGAAACGGGCCAGGGGTGGGTGGGGGACCAGGGTTTGCTGCTGTGGAGCCAGGCGCGTGGATGTGGAGGAGCCCGCTGTGCAGGTTGTGGGGGCGAAGATCAAGAGGACAAGCAGAGAGAGGGGGGGTCTTGCTCAAACATATAAGCTCAAGGCGTCCACACCACCTCATCTTCTGCTCATGTTCCCTTGTTTTCATTCCTCATAACGATTCTTTCTCCCCAAACTCCCCAATCACCCAGCCCCCTCCATCTCGAGACCTGACAAGAAGACTGTGTGCTTTTCTTTGCCTTTCTTCCTCCTCGACCTCTATAATTGAAACCGCCAGTTCTACAACCTGTCAACACCTACAACTTTTCCTTCTAATACTTCTTTCTCAACGGCAACGCCAGTAAGACGGTTTTAATAGAAAAACCAACGATAATAAACACGATGCTTTCTCTCACTGCTACTGAAGAAATCCGGGCCCTCACCGAGCAGCTCCGCCAGACCAACATACCGCCCACAGCGTCCGAGCTTCTCCGGCTGAGCGAGCAGCTCCGTGCCCTGAGCGACCAACTCCGCGAGCTGAGCGAGCAGGCCAGGGCAACTGCAGCCACTGCTTCCAGTCGTCGTCCTTCCATGTTTCTGGAGCTGGCCCCGAGCACGTCCGATTCGTACCCTCGCCCACCCAGGGTTGATTACAGGGCGCCCACTCAGGCCCAGCCGCATCCGGTGCAGAATTCCATCCAGTCTGTCAAGCGCCGTACGTCCAGCCTTAGCAGCGAGGACTCGTCGACTGCATCTCGGGCCCGTCTTCGCTTCCTCAAGCTCAATCCCGTCCACTGGGGTGAGCACCTGGATGATCACAAGGGCGACTTCCATGATGTTGCTGTCGAGTGAGCAAGCTACAACAAAGAGAAGCATGACAAGCCACAAAAAGTCTGTTCACAGAAGCATTGGTCTTGAGAAGTGAGGGGGGCATCACTTTTCCAAAGATATGGGGAGTTACTGGGAATCATCTGTTTTGTTTTGGCGTTGGAAGCGGGGGGTCATTTGATGTTTAATCTTTGGATCATTTTGAGCACATACCCGGGTGGGCATTATCAGACTAGCATGGAGCAGTTCTAAATGAAATGCAAAATGAGATTGTTTTCCGTTTCTGACTACCTCATTTCTGTTTTCCAATAACGCTACTGCTGATTAGTTTCGATGCAAGTACTCTGCATGCCAACACTCCAAAGATGTTTTCGACCACCTTTTTCTCCAGACTCGAGTTGTCGAAAGACTCTCTCGTTTACGGCATGTTGTACCTATGTTGCTCTATGTTTTTCTATTCCGTACCCCGCCGTGGAAGGTGAAATATGATTTACGTATCATTTTTTCTATTTCTGAGAGGGCCCGGAGTGTTAGACTTTATAATGTTTATCCCTTCCCCTCTTCTGGTTGGATGGTGAAACATTAAGCGAGCGGAGAGAGTGTGCCTACTTTCTCCAGAAGCGGGGGGACCAACGGGAGTGAAAACCGTACCATGGACCGTCCTAACAAGGGTGTTGAGCCGGTTTCTGTTACACGACCAAATTTTGGCGAGAGTGTGGGGGGCGGGATGTCATGGGTGTGACTGATGGACGAAGAAGGCTTAGGTCTGTGCCAGCTAGTGTTGAGTCTCTGCCATTGGAAGACGAGGAGTTGGATGGAAGTGGATGGAACCCGTTCAGCACTCGAAAAGATTGTTTCTACAAATGCATGCTGACTGAACCGGAGCCCAAAGGGAGGGCAGTCAAGCTGTCAACCAGTCTAGAGCGCAGAAGCTATAGTATATTTGCTGACCATCAGTTGATGGAGTCCAAGGGTTCCCAACGGCTTGGGAAGCGGTGTAGCAGGCAGGACGTCTTTTCCTTTCCAATTCGCCAATCTGCTCATAATACTCATACATATCTGCTGGAGCCGTCTGGCTCTGAATGCTGGGTGTAATTGAACGAATGCACTGCTGGGAGTTGAGGTAGTATCGTAGGGTTGCGATTGAAATTGCTTGATGCTCCTGTGTTGCTTGGTGATTCGCCAGGGTGCCAACGGCTTCTCAGCAGCTTGCTGGCTGCTTAACAAGGGAGCATGACTTGGTTGAGTGCGGCTTGTGGGAGGCGAGTCTGCTGTGTTGTAAGGAGACACGATGTTGCTGTCATCTTTGCGCAAGATACAGCACGGAGTGTATCTGTTGTCCAGGGAGCGGGGTAGGAATGGCAGAGACTAAGAGTAGTGGCAAAGTCCCACGTTGCATAGTTGAGGGAAGCAAGAGAACAACTTGAACCAGACTTGAACATGACATATTAGTATAAATGGCCGGCATTCTCCCAAGGCTGACTGAAGTATAATATTCCTCGGTTGTGCCTCTCTTTCGGTCTTGCTCGCAAACTTGGGCATCATCAAGATGTTCGCCTCAAACGATGCCGCGCTGCATGCAGTCCTATGCAGCCCCATTTTAGGGAAAATGATATTGATGAAAGTGGTATGGAAATGATGTGTCCAACACAACCGTGGAGTTACAAAAGCGAGATCTCTTCGAGGTCCGGACACAAACTGATCCCACCTTCCACACTCGCCAAGAGTTTCCCACACCGCTCTCCAAGTTAGCGTGGTGACCAGTGGCAGGGGTGCCGCAAAGGGACACCGCTAAGGTTGGGCACATCAATACCTGGTATCAGTTCAGCCCTCCACCCGATGATCTAGAAAATGCTTTATTCAGAGCTTCTATGGGGGAACTGGGCATGCTGCATGTGAATTACTGCATGGTTAACACTCTCTTGCTGTGGTAACCAAGCTACATACCGTGGTAAGGAAACTCCGGATCTAAGATCAGGGGTTCGACGGGCGATGACGCCCCACTTGCCCCATCGCTAGGCTCGACAGCTCAGGGTGGGACCTCCGGTAGCATTCCGTCTTGGCATTCAGGCCTTAATCCTCCAACAGGAGAGTTGATTGGTTGTCATTGCTCCGCAATGGTAGGAGCTTCTATGATTGGAATGGTGGCTCCCATCCCCAGGCTCGTGAAGGCAAACCAGTTCAATGATATTGATCTTTCTCATCCCGTTGCCATCAATTAGTCGCTGCTATCCTTTGTCAAAATTGTTATGGCCATATATATTATTCCACCTCGCCCAGGTTGATCACACACAGCATCTCCCTCAGTTGTAAGCCTGTGTTATCTTGCCCCTACTTGAAGATCAAGCAGAGTAAGCAAAGTTCAACCTAAGATCACTTCAAGGTTCCCAAACCACAACAGTAAAATATGTAAGCGCTAGCATGCCCCTCGCAAACCCTGGCTGCTATGAAAGGTGATAGGGTTTCGTGGTTGCGTTTTGGAAAGCGAAATGAGCTGACGAAGAACTGGCTGATCAAATGAACATATTAGGGATGTTGGAAGGCATAAGGTCACAAAAAGCATTATAGCAATGAGGTATAACATGCTGAAAAGGATATAGCTATACAACTAAAGACATGGAATTATGGTTCCCTGGGAAGGGTTCAGACTATCTCTAGACGTTCTATAGCAATCACACCTGTCCCATTCATCATAAAGTTCAGGAAACCACATGGTTCGCAAGTTGGAAGGCAATGACCAGTTGTCGAGTCAGAGCTGGAAAGTTTAAAGAGATAAATGTTTGGTAGCTCGGCAGGTTGCACTTGTAAGCAAACTTTACGAAGCAGGCAGTCGTCAGATACAAGAAAAGTATACCAAAAGACCAAATTACAAGAAAATTCTTGGTTATGACAAACAAGACGCATGCATCTTGTGTGATATATCCAAAACGTATCAAAGGATACTGTTTTAATTACCACCATCACCAGAGTTTAGATGTAGTACGCCAAAGAGATTTTGGCTCATGACCACCAAGAGGAAAACCCCAGTCATTGCAATTTAGACATGTCCCGTGCCCAGTTGAGCATTAAATTCTGCTCAAAGCCAGAATCCCTCTAACTTTTATGTCCTGTCATGAAAACGAGATACCTAGAAGACGCCTGCCACCAGACCCACTACATGCGACCTGTTGTCTGCAGGCCGGCTAGCCACTGAGTACCTGAAAAACCATGGCTTCATATCTACCCACCTCCCATGTGTCCTTTTCCCCATGCGAAAATGGCCTAAATCTCCCCCTTATAAGCTAAGCATCACACCATTTAACGAGAGGCCATAGCCTTGGTGACCAGACGCTTGAGAGCCAGCTCCTTCTTCTTGAGCTCGTCGGCGGTCGAATCCTCGATCTCAAGCTGAGCCATGGCCTCGCTGAGAGCCTGCTCAATCTTGTCCTTCTGACCGCGCTTGAGCTTCAGCGACAGAGTCGGGTCCGAAATGATCTCCTCAACACGGGAGATGTACGACTCGAGCTGCTGCTTGGCCTCGAAGCGCTTGCTGAAGGCCTCGTCCTTGCTCTTGAACTTTTCGGCATCTGCATGATGACGTCAGCTCTGTTCCAGTTTTATGCTGAGCACTGCGCACGGGCACTTACCGCTGATCATCTTCTCGATCTCGTCCGTCGAGAGCTTACCAACCGAGTTGGCAATAGTGATGTTAGCACTGCGGCCGGAGGTCTTCTCGGTGGCAGTGACCTTGAGAATGCCGTTGACATCGACCTCGAAGACAACCTCGAGGACGGGCTCGCCAGCCTTCATGGGAGGAATGGGAGCAAGAGTGAATTCACCCAGGAGTGTGTTGTCCTCACAGTTGACACGCTCACCCTGGTAAACAGGGAACTGAACGGTCTGCTGGTTGTCAGCAACGGTGGTGAAGGTCCGCTTCTTGATTGTAGGAACGGTTTGGCCACGAGGAACAACAGGGGCGAAGATGTTGCCCTCCATAGCGACACCAAGGGAAAGAGGGACGACGTCCAAGAGGAGGAGGTCCGAGGTATCAGCAGAAGTGGCCTTGCCGGAAAGGATACCAGCCTGGACGGCGGCACCGTAGGCAACGGCTTCATCTGGGTTAATGCTTTTCTCGAGCTTCTTGCCGTCAAAAAACTCGCTGAGGAGCTTCTGGATGCGGGGGATACGAGTCGAGCCACCAACAAGGACGATCTCGTCAACCTGGTGCTTCTCAATACCAGCGTCCTTGAGGACCTGAGCAACAGGCTCAAGGGTACCAGCGAAAGCCTTGGCGTTCAGATCTTCGAAACGGGCACGAGTAATCTGAATGTTGAAGTCCTCACCATCGAAGAGAGAATCAATCTCGATGGTAGTCTGAGCGCCGCTGGACAAAGTGCGCTTGGCACGCTCGCAAGCAGTGCGCAGCCTCCGGAGAGCGCGAGCGTCGCCGGAAAGATCCTTCTTGGTCTTCCGGGTAAACTCCTTCTTGCAGTACTCAAGCAGGTTGGTATCAAAGTCCTGACCACCAAGGTGAGTATCACCAGCAGTAGCTTTAACGGTGAAGACACCGCCCTGGATGTTGAGGAGCGAAACATCGAAAGTACCACCACCAAGATCATAGATGAGAACGTTGCGCTCCTTGTCCGACTTGCCAGAGCCAAGACCGTAGGCAATGGCGGCAGCTGTCGGCTCGTTGATGATACGGAGGACATTCAGGCCAGCGATGGCACCAGCATCTTTGGTAGCCTGGCGCTGATTGTCGTTGAAGTAGGCTGGGACGGTGATAACGGCCTTCTCGACCTTCTTGCCGAGCTTGGTCTCAGCAATCTCCTTCATCTGTTGTCCAGAATGTTAGCTTTTTGCCCTGAAATGATGGTAAATGAGTAGAAACGTACCTTGGTGAGAACCATGGCAGAGATCTCCTGGGGAGAGAAGGTGTGGGTCTGACCCAGATACTGAACCTCGACCTTGGGGTTGCCATTGTCATCAACGACTTTGAAGGGCCACGACTCCATATCCTTCTTGACCGTAGGGTCGTCGAAGCGGCGGCCGATAAGGCGCCTGGTAGCAGGAGGTCAGCGGGCTGCCGGAGCCATTCTCGTGGAATTGAGTGGACGTACTTAACATCGAAGATGGTGTTGGCCGGGTTCATGGCGGCCTGGTTCTTGGCAGCCTCGCCAATCAACCGTTCATTCTCGGTGAACGAGACGAACGACGGCGTAGTGAAGTTACCCTGCTCGTTGGCGATGATCTCGACATTGGTGCCCTCATAGACGGCAACGCAAGAGTAAGTGGTGCCTAGACATCATCGCGACCGTCGTTAGCACGTCTCGCCCAGCCAGTGTCAAAGCCCACACAGACGTAGCCAGCGCGGGAGGGGCACAGGGGCTTTACCAAGATCGATGCCAATGGCACCGTCGTAAACTTCTTCCGCCATTTTGTTGATTGGGTTGTGTGAGGAGGCTTGAGATTGAGCTGAATCTGGCACAGAGGAGGAAAGACCGAGTCGGCGTGGGGCAGGCTGGCAGTCTTTAAATTTTGAAAATTTCACCCGCTGTGAACCTATTTTTTTCTTTCCGCCAAGTGCTCCTACCCCACCAGCTTCTCTCCGTTAGGTCCAGACTCAAAACGCTCTTATCAGCCCCTCACCTCGTGATAAGTCACGTGAAACAACCAACTTGAGGCCCCGAGTGTGGGTGCGGGGCTCTAGCACAGTTGCGACAAGCGTTTGGCGAGGCGCAGAACTCGGCGCATACCCAGACCAAAGTTTGCCTGCAAGCCGTCAGAGCATCTGATTGACAGTACCAAGCCGCAGAGGTCGCGACATTTGCCTGGAGCAAGGTCGCTGTTTCCCATATCCACTTCGACCAAAACGTTCCCAACCTCAACTAGCGACCGCTGAGTTCAGCTGCAATCACACACGAAACTTGCCGCTTCCTCGTGCCATCCCATAAACCGACGATCAAAGCCCATTCAGTCGCTTTTTCCTACCACACCTTTCACAAACCGCGAGCTTCGACACAGCATCACATCGTCGCCTCAGGTCTCAACAACTGCCATCTTCGAGATATTTCGCTTTCCTACACAAACCACGCCAAGCCTTGCTAAACTCATACATCCAATCCGCTTCCAACTCGGCGAAGTCTCAATCCATCATGTCGGAACAGGTCGACCTCAGCACCATCCCCGTCTCCCCAGACGGAGAGAACAAAAACGATACCAACGGGTCTCAGACCGAGGAAGTTCCGAAGCCTATCACTGTTTTCCACGACAAGGAGAATTTCAACGTCAAACACCCCCTTTCCTGCAGGTGGACGCTCTGGTTTACTAAGCCTGCGAGTGGAAAGGTATGTGGCTGTTGATCTTTCCGCGCACACACCGCACTCACGTTGGTTGTGGATATTTTCACTAATGTGTTATACTAGGGCGATAACTGGAACGATCTGCTGAAGAAAGTCATCACCTTCGAGTCAGTCGAGGAATTCTGGGGTATCTATGTATGAGTTCGGGAAGAAATATATATTCACGGGTTTCAGTACTAACGTCAAGGGCTAGAACAACATCGCTCCCGTCTCTGAACTGGCGGTAAAGTCGGACTACCACCTCTTCAAGGAGGGTGTGCGTCCCGAATGGGAAGATCCGCAGAATAAGCATGGTGGCAAGTGGGCGTATCAGTTCAAGGACAAGCGCTCCGTCAACATCGACGAGCTTTGGCTGCACACAATGCTCGCTGCTATTGGCGAGACCCTTGAGGATGAGGAGGACGGCGAAGTCATGGGCGTGGTTGTTAATGTGCGCAAGGGCTTCTACCGCATTGGCGTCTGGACTCGCACGACCGGCAGGCACATCGCTAGCCGCGGCGATGGCGATGTCGCCGGCGGTAAGGGTCGCTCTCTCGAGAAGAGCAAGGAGATTCTCATGAACATCGGTCGCCGGTTGAAGGAAGTTCTCAAGCTCCCTCCCAACGAGATGGTTGAGTTCTCGGGTCACACCGAGGCCGCTCAGGCCGGCAGCACTCGTGCCAAGGCTAGGATGGTGGTTTAATGCCCTGCACTGGGCTGGACCCCAGATTCTTTGCCGGCCTCGTCAGCATGCCGTTTAACAAATTTCTGAACATGACGGAATCATGATTACATTTCTCGATGAGGGTCATGAGGGCGGTCATCACTGGGTAATCAAGAGAATGGGAACGGTTCTTTCTAGGCAGTTTTCCATTTATTGCGCGAAAACGGGCCCTGTTTAGTTTCCTTTTTCCCGGTTTGAGCTTGGGGCGAGGAATGCAATTCCCTTTGTATGTCCTCCGGCAAGACTTGTTGGCTGGGAGCAGAACATGCCGGGGGCAAAAGTCTATCATCTAGGTTTCCCAAAAATGGTGATGGCCAAACCATTTGTTCACTTATTGTCGAACTAAGAGAGAGTGATCCAGCCATTCTTGATCGTTTTCTTATGTCGTGAGTGCGGTGGCAGTCAACCAGGCTACTTGGTCCTAGCCAGAGAAGCCCCTGCCATCAGTGCCTAGTTCAGTTTGGAGCCTGCAACAAACATTAAAAAGCCTTTCGGAGCATAGTATTCCATGGAAATACACAGCAGGAAAGATTCCTTCTATAAGTTTACAAAACCACACCCTCATGCTATGCTTTGTACAGTATCTTGTACGCCCGAACCATATAATCTACAGGCCCAGCTGCTTACCCAGATGCGCTCTCTAGCTCCGAAACCACCTCATCGGTTACAACTATACCCTTTTCATTCATGTCGCTCCCCTGGCCACCACAATAGAGAATTTATGCATCCCTAGGCATTTCGTCCTCTATCAAAGCTCATCCCCGCTAGCTTCATCCCTGAATACCTCTTTAACCAAAACCTTCTTATTTATCTTGCCCATCGCGTTTCGCGGGATGTGTTCCACGATCTTTAGGACCTGCGGGATCTTGTAATTTGCAAGTCGATCCCTGAGCGAACGCCGCATCTCAAGCGGCGACCAACCCTTTCCCTCATACTCCTTGCTTAGGACGACCACGGCACCGACCTTCTGTCCCCACTTCCCACTAGGCACTGCCACAACTGCGACCTCAGCCACTTGCGGCAGGGCGAGCATCTCCCGCTCGACTTCGAGAGCAGACACCTTCTCGCCTCCACTCTTGATGATGTCGGCGCTGCGCCGCCCTAGGATGAAGTACATATCCCCACGCGCCCACTCCCGCTGACTGGGAAGTGTGGACTGGCCTGCCCCTTCGGGGGCTGGCCGGCGAACGGCGACATCGCCCGTCTTAAACCAAGGCCCTTTTCCGTCGTTCTTGCCATCATCCACAAACTCTTTGGCCGTTGCCTCCGGATTGCGCCAGTACCCGGCGAAAATGGTGGGGCCGCGTAGCTGGATCTCGCCAACACGCTCACGGCCTGTGGCCGGATCACGCTCAGCGCCCGGCTCGATGACGGCTTGCGTGTCGACGTCAACCAGTCGTGCCTCGACGCCCGGCAAGGGCCACCCAACCGAACCGTCTACGCGGTCGGCGACATCCAGGCCACAGCTGATGGCCATGCCAACTTCTGTCATGCCGTAGCGTTCGAGAAGGACGTTGCCTTCGCTCAGGTCACTCCAGGCTCGCTTGATGGGGGTTGGGAGGGCCGCAGAGCCTGATATGGCCAGTCGAAGGTTGGCTGGGCTGATGGCAGTCCGAGCAGCTCTTTGGAGATCAGAAGGAAGGGATTTATATGTCGTCAGGAGACGGGAATAGATCGTTGGGACGGCGGTGAAAAATGTGATCGGCTGAGGACCACTTGGATCTGGGCGCTGGCCAGATGTAAGGAAGGGAGAGGCAAATCGCTTCCAAACAGCGTCGGCGTTGAAGGGGAACATAAACTCGATCGTGCTGCCAGAAAATAGAGGGGTAAAGATGGCATTGATGGTCCCGTGGATGTGGTGCAAAGGGAGGACATGCAGAAGATAATCTGATGGGCTGTATTCCCAGGCTTGCTGCAACGATCGGGCCTGTGCTGTCATGACCGATTGCGGCAGGAGCACTCCTTTCTAGTAAAACAGTTAGCTCGCTCCCATTTATGATCGACTGAATGGCCGATGGAGCATATGCGGATGCGTCATCCTTACAGGTCGATTTGTGGTGCCGGATGTGTATAGCATCATGCCTGCTGCGCCGGGATCGGACTTCTCTTCCAACTCGACGTGCTCATGGGGTCCTCCTCCCTGAAACTTTTCCAGTTGGACAAATGTGGGCTGAACATCCAACTCAGTTTTCAACACCTCCTGCGCTTTGGAAGAAAACTTGGCTGAAGACAGTAGTAACAATGCCTCACTGTGGTTGAGGATATATTGGAGCTCGGGGGGCGGGAAGGCCGGAGACAACGGCACAGCAATAGCTTTGGCCGCTAGGATGGCTAGCCAGATCACTTAAAGGAGAAGCATTACTGGTCAGCTATGGTATTGAGGACTCTGATAGCAAAATAATGGATATTATGGTGGCTGGCTTACCAACATAGTCGTAGCTGTTCTCAACCAAGAAAGCTATGCGCTCACCATCCAAGTCGGACTTCTTGGAAGCCTCGTAAAGGCGGTTCCGGACCCTGCGGACATCGCCCAATAACTCGCCATATTGAAAGCGGCGCCCACTATTGGAGTGGACAACGACCGTAGATTGGGGAGAGTGGCCGGCAATGGCCTCGAAGACCGGCAGTCGAGGAAGCGTGGACAACATCTTTTTGCCGTAGCAGCGGGACCAGCAGTTGGACAAGCGAGGAAGGGGACTCGACGAGGAAAGCAGCAATGTAGCTGAGCGTGGTAGCTGGCCAACTAAGACTCTCTTGCCAATGACGTGGCTAAGAGACAACAAGGACATTGGAACGTGGAAATGCCGGTGATGCCCCGGAGGCGCCCCAGAGAGGTGGTTCAGGCTGTGTGGTGTGGGGGAGGAGAGGCCGAACTAAACTATTAGCCACCCAGGTGGTACCCGACGAAATGTGAGCACGTCAGGAGAGCGCGGGGGAGGTTCCGATCGGGTCGGGGGTAAAACAGGAAGGCCCCTAGCAACAGCCGGAGCAGCAGGCGACTAGAATGCCGAAAGAGCAGGGCGGGACACGGAGATGCGCTTGCGTATCCCGACTGGCTTTGCCGTGTACACGGAACCCAGCCGGATGTACGTGCGTAAGATGTAATGCACCGAGCATGCGTGTAATATTACAGGCGTCTCGAGGATTGGACAGGTCGAGACTACAGAACCTAAGGGACTTCAACGGACTGGATGGACGTGCTAGAAGGCTGTGAGAAGTCCGGCGCATCCTATTTCTTTCTCCGTGGCCCGTGACCGCTGCCTGTTCGGCAGCAGATCGGCTCGCCGACAGCCAGCTGTGGAGCGGGGATCAGGGCACAGCAGGTCATCCATAAACGACAGGGGGTTTCCCTTGCGATCAACGCGATCACAGTGCGATAAATTGATTAGTGCTTTTTTCTTACCTTTCCTCGGATCTTGGGTAGCAATTCGATCGTGGGGCCTCGGGGTGGGGAATGTGGGGCATCATGGCTTGGCTTTCTTGCGATCTTGGATCCTTGCAATTCCGGTGCCAAATGGGGCAGGAATTTGTCCTGCGGTTGGCACGCAACGAGCGCGCACAACCAGGGAGGGTGACCGTTTCATCTTGGCGGTCGATTTGCGCGCTGCCCCACGGTTTCGCTCAGCGATTGATGATATCCCGCAAGTGCTGCAACTGTTGCTGAGTGTCGCATCCACTGCCTTGAGTTTACCTCTGATTCCCATTCGTCTCGCTGCCTGACCGGTGGTTTGCCTAATAGAACGTGCTCCCGGTCCCTGGTAGCTTCATCCATTCTTCCCCAACCCAACTGAGGTGCACACCAGCACGGACCAAACCACAGCACACACCTATGCTACGCCGCACCGTCGTTGGCTGCGTTAGAGCAACGAGCTATAGGCCCTTTTCAGCCATGGCGTCGAAGACTCCCGTTGAAGATGCGATCCGGGAAAAAGTACGTGAGCTTCCTCGCCGTTGTGACGACCGTATTCCTCGGCTTACACCTCCCTTACTGCTGTTCAGATCAACGCAGCGCTGAAGCCCACCCGGCTCGAGATCTACAACGACTCCCATTTGCACCGGCACCACCAAGCGATGGTGGGAAACACCTCGACAGAAACTCACTTTCGTCTTGTTATCACCTCGGATGCCTTCCAGTCGAAGATGCAAGCTGCCCGTCACCGCATGGTGTATGCCCTTTTGAAAGAAGAGATGTCCCGTGAGGGCGGCATCCACGCGCTGCAGTTGACTACTCGGACCCCCGAAGAGGACGCAAAGCTTGCTGCGCAAGAAGCTGCCGTGACTTGCAAGACTTGAAATAAAGCCCTTCCAAGGAAAATGGGAATAGCGGTGTTTTTATCTTAGACTGATACCGAAAGATCAAGCGACATATTATATGGATAACGGAATATTCCATATTTGTGTCAATATCCGTGAGAAAACTCAGAAGAATGGCGAGTATAGCGATACTCCTTGCAATACGGAGGAGCTCGACGCAACCTTCGTACGCTTTCATATCCCAAGTCTCCTCGAAACTACCGGGTTGCCACCAGCCTGTACTGGCCATACATGATATCACAGCGCGTGCGACACCATTCTATGGCTTTGCTTTTCTTCACATCGACGGGCTGCTCCCTAATTTCCCCTCCGCCATTCTACGCCGCAAGTACTTGACAAAATTTGGCTCCTGATCGCCCGAGCTCTGCTTTCGCTTTTTGAATCGCCTACCGGGCTCCCTGGCTCCAATTGATTTCCGAGATGAAGACTTAGGTTTGACAGTCGACTCCGGTATGGCCGAGAAGTTGCTTTGCTGTGATAACAAACCACCAGGCAAGCCGACCCGTTTAGTGCGGGTTGGTATGTTTGGGGTCTGTGTTTGTTGAACTTCGGGCAATGACGAATCGATCGGGTCGTCTTCTAGCACTCTGGACCGACTGGAAGCGAGTTTTTCTCTGCTTGCTGATCGAAACCCCTCGATACTAGGCCGACGATGTCGAACACTGGATCTAGAGGCACCGACGGTTGGGAGTTGCTTGGGCGCTCCGCTGACTCGATGTGTCGTGTCTAACTCAAGAGATGGCTGATCCGTGGAGCTGTCTAGGTCATTCTGCTGCTGAACTTTGGGCTTCAATGGTCTTCTCGGAGTTACTACTTTGATAGCCCCTTCAGAATTCCCTCCGCTATGGCTAAGTTTGCACTCAATCGCGCGTACTTGATTTGGGTACTCTTCTTTCACTTCATGGATGTTTTGTTTGTTCAGGATCTTCTTAGTATAGCGTGGCTCTGAAACGTTTTCATTGTACCATTTAATGGTTGGGAGAGGCGTCTCCTTGCCATCCACGGCGCTGATGTAGTCCAGGTAGTCGCTGCAAAAGACGCGGACAAAATCGTCATACAGGAACTCTGGGAGTTCCTTTGAGCGCTGAAGTTTTGAGATTATGATGATCGCTCGGACGAAATCAGTTTCCGTCCCTCGAAAATCTGGATATGCAACTTTAAAGGCCGTATATGGCGCTTGAGAAGGTGGTTTATTTGGTGAAGGCTTGTTCGAATCATCGGATGATTTTGGGGATGCTTCAGGCCTCACGACAGGCAAATCGCCGGTTCTGGAACTCTCTTGTGGAATGATTTCTGCCGCTATGGGCGCACGTTTTCGCCCTGGAGCGAAGGCCGCAGATGGTTGCATATGCATTGCCCTGCGTGATGGGCTTGTCGGCAGAGCTGACGAGGTAAGCTCTGGATTAGGAGATCGGGCTATCCCAGACAATTCTTGGCCAGGTCCCAACCTAGAAATATCCCTTGAATTGGAGCGGTCGTCTCGGCTGTTAAAGAGGGCAGCAGGGGGCTTCATAAGTCGGTTCCGTTTCGTCTGAGTAGGCTCGGTTGGAATTGTAGACGGGATGATCTGGGCTGAAGGGGGAGTAGAAGTGAACTGTGGTCGACCGGTGGCAGACATAGGAAGAGGGGCAGGTGTGGGATCGGCCGCATGAACACTGGTTGCTTCCAAGTTAACTGGCTCCAGAGTATCTGTGGCAGCTTTTGGGACCTCTATGTCCAGACTTGCTTCAGAAGCCAAGCTACTGTGAGGAATATTGCTAGGAAGTGGAACCTGAGAGATGATATTAGAAAGTGGCCTGGCCACGGGGGCCTCTGGTAAGCTCTCGCTTGGCGAAGGTGCGTCGGGGTCCAAATCTTGGCCCTTGAAGCGTGATTGAGGGTGGAGATGTTCAGATGATAAGGTCATACAAGACCTCAATGGCTGATCTGAAGGTTCGTCTTCGGAATCATCGTCTGCATCATGTGCTCCTAGCTGGCCATCTGGGGCGGCTGCATCAATCTGAGTAGCAAATTCGTATCCAGGAGTAGATGGCTGCGACTGAAAGCCCTCTACTGCAGAAGGTGCAAGACGGGAGGGGCTTCCCTCCTGTTCTGGAACCAGTTCATTGTTTTGAATTTCATACTCCTTTATTTCTTTAGCATGGCTTCTTCTTAGTTCCTCGAGAACTTGCGCTGGGACCTTGGGGGTTCCACGAACATCCCAAGCGTCAGACCGCTCGAGCAGCTTCTGTTGGTCCTTTGGCACTTGGATCCATCGACGGCTAACGCGGTGTCCTCTAGAGAGGGATAGAAGGAGATCCGGTGACCAATCGCACGGCACCGGCAATCCTGCCATGTTGCTGTGGCTTGATGAAGGCAGCAAGGATGTTGGTCTTCGAAATAGCTAGAAGAATCGAACAAATCTCGGTAGTTGGAAACAACCTTGGCATCGTTAGTTATGGAAGAAGAGAATCAGCACGCCGGTGGTTGGACCTGGAACACAGTGATGCTGATACTTCTAAAAGCAGAAGTGTCAGAAGACGACTTGCCGTTCGAGATCCACAAGATCTTACTTACAGATAAGCTTGGGCTCCATGCAACAGAAACAAACCAAAATGGGTATGGCTGAAGGTGATTGTTGTCACACAAGAGCTGCCGGTTCAACCAAGTTAATAGTGGGCTTCGCGTGCTTCCACGGACCACGACAAAGGCGCGATCTAAGAACGCCAAATCACATGACAACAGGCACGAAGGCCCGCAAAGGACAATGCTTGCTGCAGGAGAAGCAGCCAATCATAGATGCTCCCTTCCTTTTCTATCGATAGAAATGGTCGGGGGTCTCTTTTGGCCTCGGTGAGCCCCACCATTGGCGTCGCGCCGGGCGATGCCCACTCAACGTCATCCTCCAGCGGTCATCAAGGCCGGAGCCAGGCGAAGCAAGAATCTGTTTGCTCATTCGCCCATTTCAATCGCAAACCACCCCGCTCAACTGCCCATCAACAAGATCCAACCTCTTTACCCTCCTGGCGCCTATTGTGACAACGTCGATTTGGCGGCGTTTTCGCGGCTGCTTGTTTCCTGAACTTGTCGATGTCTTCTGGCGCTTTATGCAGAACCAAAGCATGACATCCGATTTCGTTGAGATCATCGTCTCTTATCCTTTCTCCCATCTCTAACAAGAGAGTCTGGCGCGATGGTAGACTCCAACGGGTCTCGACAGCCCTCCCTTGCTGCTTCACTGCCGCCATCCCCGGTGGACGCCCGGCCACGTCGCGACTCCATCGTCTCGCTGCCCGTCTCCCCGCCCATCGACAGGGAGCAACTCGCCCTCGCTCTCGACAAGATCCATACCTCTGCCAGCCAGTCCGATGCTCTAACAACCTTCAACGACTTTGCGCCGCCCCCAGGCTCGCTTCCGGTCCCTGAACCCAAGAGTACGGCGACCGAGATTGTTCAGCAGGGTTTGAGTGGCCTGTACAGCCGCCTCAAGGAAGCTGTCGGCGCCGTGAGCAAGAGTGCTTCTTCCCATGAAGCTGTGGGGGATGGCGACAACTATGAGGCCGGAACAAGAAGCACAACCTCGCCCTCGGCTGGCACATCCAAGGCACCTTTTCTTCCCCGAGGAGAGGGCAGCGGGTCAAGTTCTTCTGCCCTGGAACCAGTTCGGCTGTCTTCAGACACCCATACGTCAGGCGCGATGAGTGCTAGCTCACAAACGCATCTTCAATCATCATCTAAGGCATCATCCATTGCGACAACCACATCTGTCGCCGCTAAACTATCGTCGCCTGCCCTTCAGGGGTTATCCAAACTTAGCAAAGCGGTACTTTCAGTCACAGCTAACCCTGCCGTCGCGCCTGTGACAGTCCAAGGGCAGGTTTTACTAGATAAAGAAGCAGCTCGAGGAATCACCACTCATGTTGATGATGTGTCGGTAAGGCCTGCTGGGAGGAGGAGCATAAGTAAGCCGACAGCAACAGTACAAAGCCCGATTCTCTCCGCAAATGGAAGCCTGGACAGCATTTCTACGATAGATCGCATCATGATCCCCGCTCGCACCACACGAGACGAAGCTCTCAGCACAGATGGTGGTGCGGACACGCCACGAAGCCCAGTCCAGTCGTCTGTTCCTGAACGACGCGCTTCAGCTGCGTTTCGGCTCGCACCGTTAGATGTCCTAAGGAGGCCTGCAGTGATTGATCGGCTTGCTTTTCCAAAAGGAAGTAGTCGCTCGAGATCCTCCTCTATGGAGCCTGGGACTACGGAAGCAAGCCCCATCAGCACTTCAGCTCACAGTTCTCTCTACCATGAGTCCTTTACCCAGAACGAACGCCCCCAAATTCTGCAATCGGGTATCATAAGGATCCCAGGGACGACGACCAACGAAGGAGCCTCTGACGCGGTCAGCGCAAGGCTAGAACGCATGCGCAAGCAGGTACTAAGCAAGGAATTTTGGATGGCCGATGAAACCTGCAAAGAATGCTTTCGTTGTGGCGCCGCCTTTACTGCTTTTCGGCGCAAGCATCATTGCCGGACCTGTGGTTGCATCTTTGACTCCAAATGCACTTCGCAGATCTCTGGTCAGAAATTTGGTGTCCAAGGCTCCTTAAGAGTTTGCAAGACATGCTTGGACGTTATCAATCGCCGGTACGACAGTGCCTCCGATGATTCGGCTGATGAGTCATATCTGCCTGCCATCTTCCGTACCAGTCAAGCGAAGCACACCCCTACATCTGTCAAACAGCGGACTGAGGATGAAGGAAGCACATCAGAGAGGACCGAGCAAACCGATCAAGCAGACGATGGCAAGGTCGCGGTTACTCCTATGATGGCCATACCTGCCACACGCAGAGTGGGCGACAGTAATCGCAATTCCGCCGTCCTGGAGATCGATTTACCGCAGCTTAGTAGGCCCAGCTCGTCACGGTCCTTAAAATCGCTGGCGGCTGGTCGGCCACAATCGTCAGGGCATCGTCGTCACCACTCTAAGCACAACTTCCTTACTAGGCTCAAGGGTACCATGGATGACAGAGCTCCGTTTCGTGCAGCAAGTGGAGATGAGGTCGTGAAAAAGGCGAACACAAATGCCTTTCACGACGACAACATCATTGACCCAGACCTTGCTGAGTTCATGTCTGACGATTCGAGTGATGACGAACAAGTGAGCGACATCTACAGTGTGATGAAGACGGATGAGTTCCAGCCAGGCAGCGTGGACCCAGATCGAGCAAGTTTCGGCAACTTCATGGGCAGTGGAAGAAAACACCGGTTCCGCCAAGGCGATAAGAGCATGAGCATTGGCGGGCTTTCTCACATAAATCGCGGTTATGAGGAGGGTGGTGGCCTCCAGAGTTTGACGATACATCATGGTCGACCGCTACGGAGGAGAAACCTCAGCATTGCCAGTGCGAGCATCCATCATCTCAGGTCCCCACGGCCAAAGTCTGCTATTGCCAAGGGCCCCACGGCGTCAGCTGACGCTTTGTCCGTCTTTGATGCCATGGTCGGCGACATTCCCGGTCTGAAACGCACCGAGTCTACTCGCAACGGTCAGTCGACTGAAGGCGGTCTCAACCCTGCGAGCTGGCAGCATGTGAAGAAGTTGTTTCGTCAGTTGCTGGATGACGATAAGATTCCCAATCCGGAGAGCTGGGAGAAAGCTCTTCTCCCTATCATTGACCAATGCGCAGATGATGTCGATCCGGACATCCGGAGCGGCGATGTTATGGATATTAGACATTGGGTGAAGTTCAAAAAGATTCCTGGTGGGAAGCCGAGCGACACCGCGTATGTTCACGGAGTGGTATTCACCAAAAACTTGGCTCTCAAGAGTATGCCTCGCAGGATCCGCAACCCGAGAATCGTAATCATCACTTTTCCGCTCGAGTACCAACGCCACCCAGAGCAGCATTTTATGAGTTTGCAGCCAGTTATCGAACAGGAAAAGGAGTACCTGAGGATGGTGGTTAACCGCATCCTCAATCTCGAGCCAAACGTGCTACTGGTCGAGAAAGGCGTGGCCGGAGTTGCTCTGCAATATCTCGCCGAAGCCAACGTTGCCGTCGCATACAACGTCAAGCCATCCGTCATCGAAGCGGTCGCTCGTATTGTAAACATGCCTGTGATCTCGTCCATGGACATGTTGAGCCTGGGTGCCCGAGTCGGCACATGCGAGAACTTTGAAGTCAAGACATTCGTCAACAACGATATCAGGGGAAGGAAAAAAACCTATATTTTCATCTCTGGCTGCCCCAAAGACCGTGGTTGCACCATTGCCCTTCGTGGCGCTTCGACCGAGATCCTCGCGCGCATGAAACGCATCACCGAATTCATGGTCTATGTCGTTTACAATTTGAAGTTGGAGACCTGTCTCATGCGTGACGAATTCGTCCAGATTCCAACAGAGCTTGATTCATTGATGTCAGCCGACTCCTCAAGCACACAAACCAGTCATGGATTGCTCCCGGTCGTTGGGCCGGCTCCCAACTCCTCAATCAGCTCCTCTGCTTTCACGGCACAGCAGAGCAGCACAGAGCCCTCCGATCGTTCTCCGACTAACATGAACGCAGGTAACCTGAGCAGCAGCGACAGTACCGGTGCTAATTCTGAACTATCAACCTCCGAAATAACAGCTGAAACAATTTTACGGCCGGCCGTGCAACAACCAGCTGTTGAAGAGGTAAACACAATAACTTCTGCGCAGGACTCACAATCTCCGCTTCAAGTGCCTGAGGATATCCCCATGCCAGCCTTCTACAGTGACATGGTGGCCAAGTACGAGACAAGAATATTGTCTGTATCTCCGTTTGTGAGGTTCACTCAGCCATACCTTCTCATGAAGGCACGCGAACAGGAAAGGCGCTTGGAGTACCTGAAACGGCTTCGCGATCAGGATCAAATTCAAGAACCCGATCAGCCCGACAAACCAGAGGAGTTTCAGCTCATCAAGCCCGAGATGATACACCAAATGGGCCAGAAGGCTCCGCGGAAGATCATGGAGGTAATCCATGCTGTCCATGATGCCGAGTATGACAAAGCGCTGCACAACTACTTGACCCAGACGAAGCAGTGGGAAACCTATCTTCAGAACTGTCTAGATTTGTTCGACCCTTATGCACACCAGAATATCGTCGTCCTCTCTTCGGTTACTTGCACCGCTACTCAGATCCCGTGTGTTGAGCCTGCCTTGATGGCCATCGAATTCTATAACCAACATCCGGATGAAGGGGGCTTCCTGGATCAGGACTTTACACTAGGCCAATACATTGAGGATATATGCGACACAGCCAATTACGTGTGTACTGCAAACAACTGCGGCCGCAAGATGTACGAACATCATCGGACGTTCGTGCACGACAATGCCCGACTCACCATCATCTTGAAACCATCACCTCAGTGGCCTGAGAATTTTCCAGAAAAGCCGCAGGAGCGAGGAGGAGGAGATGACGAGGGCACTGGTATCTGCATGTGGAACTATTGCAAAGTCTGTGATAAGCACTTTGGGTTGATGCCAATGTCCGTCAGCACCTGGAAGTACTCGTTCGGCAAATATCTTGAGCTCTCATTCTGGAACACGGGCCTCCGGCTGCACCCAGAGACTGGATGTCCCCATGACCACAAGAAGGACCATGTCAGGTATTTTTACTATACATACCTTGACATTGCAGTCAAGGTCCATTACGACCCCATCGACCTTTACGAGATCATCGTTCCCCGCAAGAGGATCACTTGGAAGGTCGACATCGATCTGAAGCTCAAAAATGATGTCTTCACAAAAGCAGAAGAGAGATGGAATCGGTTCATCAACTCAGTCAAAGCTAGGCTCAAGAGCATCAAGATTGATAGCGTACTCCCGGAGAAGGCCGAAGACTGCAAGGCCGAAGTGGATCGACTTCTTGAAAAGGCTGAAGAAGACCACAAAGAGATGATTAAAGTCTTGCAAAATGCATACATGAATTCAAAGTACTACGAGATCATTCCTTTTAATGTGGTTTTCAGACAGATGCTCGAAAGGGCCACGGAATGGGACAGCGCCTTTACTCAATTCGAATCCAAGTTTCTTTCTGACAAGGATGTCCGACAGTTGACACTGATCCAACTCAAGAAAATGTTCTCCGATCACGAGAAGGATCCAACGAGCACTGATGGAACAACAGTCGGGTCAGAGTCGGAGGAAAAAATGACGCCCGTGACATCGCCAAATGAGAGTTCTGATGTTGGGGAGAAGCTGTCTCCATCATCTGAGGAATCATCAGTCCCTCAGCTGCCAGAAAAGACCACTCAACAGGAGCAGCTATCGCAACCATCTGAGCTCGGGGACAGTCAGTCTCACGAGGAACTGTTATCACCTTCCCTTGCAACACAACCAATCACTAATCAGAAGGAGGAGGACTCCGTGAAAGCTGAGGAACAGCCAGATGCCGTCAAGGCTGGAGAAGCTGAGGCGCAGATTCCATCGGCACCACGGATGCCCACCTCCACTTCGGTTTCCGAGGTGGGAGCTAAAGGGGTCAAACCACCTAGCAACCAACCAGCTGGTTCTTCATCCTCTGCAGGAGTGGCAAACAGCCCAACGCTATCCCGGAAATCAACCATTGCTTCCCATAGTTCTCCCACCGAACCATCCTCGGCAGCCAAAACTTCCCATAAGGAGCCTTCGCTATCAGAAAAGGTTGAGCAAATCCGACGGCAAAATCGGGCACACGCCATTACCAGCTCGGGTTCGGGAGCTGAGGCACCGACTGAAACCACATCCCCGTTCTCGCCCGACCGTACCATGCTTCCTCGTCGAACAGGCACTAATGTCTCGCCTCCAATGCTTCGCACTTTTGGTCAACAGTCAGGAACAGTGTCAGGGCCATTACCTCGCACGCAGTCTACCATTGGTAAACTGTTGAGAGATCAAAAGGTTGCGCAAGAGGCGGCAGCATCAACAGACGCACAGAAGGGACAAACTGGGGATGACACGTTGAAAGGAGACAAGAAATTCCTCGGTACGCTGAAACCACACCGCAAAGCTGGACCGTCCAACATTCCGCGATTTGTTCACAACAAAAGAGATTCCAAAGTGTCGAAGCTGGCCTATCATTTCGAGCAACTGAGTCGGGAATTTGAAAAGGAGCGATTGAAGGACCGGAAGCAGAGAGCGACCAAGTTGCATCACACCCGAGCTTTCTTGCCACGGTCTTCAACCAAGACGATCGTCGAGGTATATCGGGATGTCGATCAGGCTGTTCAAGAACCCGGCCCGTCAGATGAGGATCATCTCGGCAGAGAGTCAAGTGAAAAACAATCTGTCGAAACATCCACTCCAGATATCACTCCCGCTGAAACACAAAACAAGCCTCCCGAGACAGAACCAAGCTCGCCAGCATCGCCTCCGTCGCAAGAACGGAGAGATAAAGTTTTTGCTACAACTGAAGGTGAAACAGAGGAGAATAAAGTCCAAGAAGAGAATCGTGTTAGCACGGACGATGAAGCAGGCAGCGATGTTGAGGGCACTGGCCTTAGCTTCGATGACATCTTACCAGACGTCAACGAGATTGCCGAGTCTTTAGAGCAGAATGCGATCCCAGAAGAGTTGCCCAAACATCAAAAGAAGAGTCTCATGGATCGGTTGGCTAATTTCTGGGCCGAGCGCTCCGCAAGCAGTTGGCCGCAGCTCGAGTATCCCGTCAACATGGGCGACCACGTCATGTTTGATTCAGACGTTATCGTCCGGGAAGATGAGCCCAGTTCACTCGTGGCGTATGCTATGAGCTTAAATGACTACAAGGAAAAGCTCGCTGCCATCCGGAGAGACCTCAGGATGTCGAACTTCGGTGAGACTGATGTGAGCGGCGATAGCCTGGAAGACAACATGGGAACGCCGGTGGACCCAGAAGCGGCGAAGGAAAGGGCCAGAAAGATTGACATGGAACTCGAAAAGACCCTCCTCCGGTCGACTGGGACACACGTCAAGTACCAGTTTGTGCATGGCACAGCCAAGATGATGTGCAAGATTTTCTTTGCGGAACAGTTTGACGCCCTACGGCGCAAGTGTGGTGCGGCTGACAGATTCGTCGAATCACTGTCGCGCTGCCTGAAATGGGACTCGAAGGGCGGCAAGACCAAATCTGTATTCCTCAAGACTTTAGATGATCGCTTTGTGCTCAAGTCTCTGTCGGTCCCTGAGACCCAATCATTCTTGAAGTTCGCTCCCGATTACTTCAACATTATGGCCGAGGCGCTCTTCCACGAGCTCCCATCTGTGATCGCAAAGATGCTGGGCTTCTTCAGAGTTCACATAAAAAACCCGGTCACCAATACCGATATCAAGCTGGATCTGTTGGTTATGGAAAACCTGTTCTACGACCGGACACCCAGCCGCACGTTTGACCTGAAGGGCTCAATGCGCAACCGGAGAATACAGTCCACTGGCGAGCGAGACGAGGTCCTTTTGGACGAGAACATGGTCGAATATATCTACGAGTCGCCGCTCTTTGCCCGTGAACACTCGAAACGCCTGCTCCGGGCCTCGGTGTTCAACGACACACTGTTTCTGGCTAAACAAGATGTGATGGACTACTCCCTTATGGTAGCGGTCGACGAGGCAAAAAAGGAACTCGTTGTGGGCATCATCGACTGCATCCGGACGTACACGTGGGATAAACAGCTTGAAAGCTGGATCAAGCAACGCGGTCTCGCCGGAGGATCGCGTAACCGTCCCACTGTGACCAGCCCGAAAGAGTACAAGAGTCGGTTCCGGGTGGCGATGGCGAAGTAAGCGTTTTCTGGACCCACAGCGATGAACATGAGCTGACTTAATGTGTCACAGATATATTCTCCAATCCCCCAATTGCTGGCATACTTTTGGGACGCAGCGAATTGCTCCAAATACCCCTCACGAACCGAGGGCTCGGTTCGAAGCGTAAACTGCAACATACACCCCATCACTCGAGGTTCGTTGCTTGTTTGGCTCCATCATGCACAGGGAGGTACTTCTTGAGGCATGGTTTGGCATGTTTGATGCATGTATGGCAGGCATGGTTAGTGGACGGATAGTCATGGTGTTTCGGGAAGCAATGGTACCTTGGTCTTGATATGATTGATGCAGTGAATCTTTCGGTTCATGATCCGGTTTCAGTGCTGGGTGCTTGCATGTTGGTTCATTCGGTGCACATTTAAATATCGTCTTACTTAGAGGCCTTAATTACAGCTAGGTACTTAACGAACAGCGCCACTGACAGGAAAAGACCTCTTCCGGATAGATCTATGACACAAGTGCCACATTTCAAAATGGAACCTCCTTTAACATTGGGTCCTTGCGACAACCGTTGCATATTCCCAATGAACCCTTGGGCTATTAGTGAAAGGTTCACATCATGATCCTCCGCTTCTCGTTTACTACTTCAAAAGAGTGCACGATTATTGCGACTTTCCTGTGCCAGGACGCGAGCACCCGGGAAGCTTGCATGCCTTGGCAGGGGACAGCTCAGCCTTGAAACTCTCCATCTCAAGGGTCCACGGCGGCTGTTGCGAGAAAGAATTGAGCAGAGATAGCCTCTCAGCAAGAGCAGGTCGGAACAATTTGTCGCCACTTATAGGACTTCTGGGCCGGGCTTTCGATTGGTTGCGGCCTGAAGACATCGTCAAGGATGAAGCAGACCGCACCAATCCTATCCACATCGAGACTCATGCATTTGACGCCTTTGCAGCCGACAACAGCATCGACTGGGTCTGTCATGATCTGGATAATGGATTGACCCTTTTCCTAGATGACAACCTTGCTGTTCCTCAAAGCATGGCAAACCATGTCCGCAAGCATGGAGTGCTGCGGGCAGGATTTCAGCAAGCCCTGCGTTTGCTCGGCTCCCCCATTGATGCCAGGTATTGGACCACCTATCGGGCATTTTGAAAAGGCAGGGGTTCACGGCAACGGCTAAGGAGCTTCTCAAGGTTATCAATGCCGGGGTAGGAAGCATCGCCGTCGATAAGTGGGAGTTTAAGCCTTACGACGTATGTGCCTGGTTGGATAGGTTGGACAAAATGGGAATAATTAGATGAGAGCCTTCGACCTCTCTAGCCTTGCTAGGTTTTTCTCACTCGAGAATACACTAGATAGGTTTGCCTATTCTCTTAGCTTTGAGCTAGAAAGGCGCGGCTATGGGATAGTCAAGCACCCAGAAGCCGAACACTTCCCTGAACATTAGGTGATTTGGCCGAGTGAAAAAGATAACTGCCGCTGACCAGAGTATTCTCAACATCTTGCTGGGTGGAAAACTATTATCAAGGATGGCAAATTTCCCAACATCAATCAGGGCGGTGCCTGCTGGAACTTCTTTTTGTGCTTAGCCTACTGCTTAGGCCACATGATCTATGTGCTGGAAAAGGTCGACAGCGTCCGCAACAATCTTGCTGTTCCGCTCAGAGCTTCCAGAGTCAATAGAAGCATAGACAAGTGGACAAAGACGTTGAGACAACTTGAGGACTACCAAATGCCCAAGGAGCCATTCTAGCAGGAGCTGCAAGAAATCCGAAACCGCATCATAGATGAATCTCTACCAACAATATTGTGCTGGCTCCGGCATATGAGCGCTATTACCAGCCAAAGGACGGCAGCTTCAGGACTGTGTGAGAGCATGATTACAGCTGGGATTGGGCGGATACCAAGCTGCGTCTCTCAACTTCGCATAAGCCGCACCGATACTTTTCTGCTGATTGTTGGCCTTCTGACAAAGCCTCAGTTGATGAATGCGTCGATCCAGCCCAGACATTTGACCCAGAGACATCAGACTCTGCAAACAAGGAGTATGAGCGGAATCAGCTCCGGCCATTCCGGAACGAGCCTGTCAAGTTCCGTCCTGGGCCAGCCGTCTTCACTGTCGGAGACACACGACTGCAGCATGAAGCAGTCAAAGGGACTACAATGCAGATGGTTGCTCAGGGTAAGTCTTCCATTACAAGCCTTTCCTTTGCCTTGACAAGGTCTTAGTCATGTTGGATGATAAATGTACTGACATGCACGATAGATATAGGAACCGACAAGTTCATGAGCCCTTTGTCTTGAAGTCATACTCTCCGATATCTCCGTGCGTCAAATGCACAGTGTCCATGGAATGCAACGTGAGAGGCCTAGGGAGCTTCCAGGTTCAACACCTGGTATGGGGGCTGGAAAAGTAAAAAATCCGTTGCTGCCCACCATTCAGCCGTGTCGATTCAACTTCAACTGAGCCTCCTCAGTGATTCTGTTAAGCTCCAATGGCATTGCTTTAATTGGTGCGCTCCAAACAGTGCATGCGTTTAGGCTGCAGTAACCGCCGCGTTGAACATGATCCAGGTTTGGACATTGGCTCTTTGCAGCTGACCCTTATCGTCGTGGAAAGCAAGCCATTCTAGGTAAAAGACCACATTCTCGAGCTTCTGCTTCCAGATTACACAACGGTCCGCATTCTCGTCGGTTAAGAAGTTGAGAATGGTCTTGAGACGCATGTTCAATGGCGGCTGAGGTTTGCCATTATACCACGATTCGACCTGCTATTCAGATCCAAGGCCCACAGAAATTTCATACCTGCCAGCAATGATGTTCCAGACATTGGAAGTCCGGATCGCTTGTAACCGGCGGTGCAAACCAGTCAGGCTCGCCTGGCCATCGGTCAGGACTGCTTTTTCTTCTCTTCTTTCGCTATAATGACCGGATGTGGTAGCACCGAAGAGGTGGAGGTTCCTCCATTGTGGCAGGGAGCTTCAATAACTCACTCTTCACGAGCGCTTGCAAAGACGGACTCTTTATCATCCATGTGGATATCAAACTCCGAGTTAACGGCAGCTACTGCATCCAAGTCGGACATGGGTGCATCTTCTACTACTCAGTGGTCATCTTTAGCCTCTGTTGCTTCTCCCCTCTCTCTTTTGTCGAATGACAGTCAGGTTGGCGGAAATAGATGTCCATAGAGCTTGTGCCGTTTGAGTTCTTCTATGAGTCTAGTCTAGGCCAAAGCCCGTTTTTCTTTATTTTTGGATTGCCAAGGTAGCTGTCCACCTTGAATTTTAAGTCCTCGTCTGGCTTTAGCTTATTTTTTTTTTTTTGCTCGAGGTGGTCCTTTTACTTGACAGAACATTCAGAATCATTAGGATCATTGATGGCGTACTCCAGAAGGAAATCTATGAAACATTCTGATTTATTAGCGACAAGTACCTGCTTTATAGATATTCTAACATTCGAGCACATACTGTCCACATCCCTCTTTTCCTCTGGGCCTAAAAGAAGAAGGCTTTCCGATTCGGTTGATTTGGTCCATGTGCTTTCCGCAGTTCCTTGAGATTCAAGGCTGACTTATGGCTGGTTACGGACATCTCTGCATGTTGCGCGGGCTCTTCGTTATCAGCCATCTTGATCCTGTCAAGATCTCCTCGGAAGTCTCTAGTCACAATATTGGTTCGTAGAGGTAATCAATTGAGAGAAAAGCGCATCATATGCGCACGGTACACACAGATGTGGCGAGAAACACAGAAAGATAGTAGGCCAATAGGAAAAGGTGATATGCCCGAAACAATATCTTCCTCAGAAATATTCAAAATCCTACTATACGAACTTCAGGTGGTTTGTGTCATATCTATGTACCTTGGTCGACCCCCTGAGCCGCAATCCCTCCGTTGCGTGCGTACAGGGGGTAGGCTGTAAAAGACAATGAAAGTGGCTTAACCAGAGTGCCAGCCACAGCCATTGTCGAAGAAAATCAATCATCCTCATTGGAATGGTGCCCGTTTTAGCATGAAGGGACCGTCAAACAAAGAACAATCGCAAACAATGAATGCATGACGCACAAAAGAGGTCCATCAGAAACATATTATTACTGGGGATGTCATGGCCTTCGCTCGGTCTCGATCAGCTTTCTTTGTCCGGGCCAAAATGCGATCGGAAAGACAACTGGGCAGATTGAACAAAGCCAAAATAGAAAACCACAGAGACTAAACATTTAAGCTGGGACATTCAGGACTGGAGAGATCGATCTTTGCAATGACAGCGCCCGGCCGGTAGACAAATGGCAGACGTTCGTCTGCATCATGGATTCTCCAAGTCCTTGAAGAGTCCTCTTTGCGACCAGAGGACATAGAAGCAGTTTGACAACATTTACAGACAAGACCGAGGCACTCAGCTCTCAGGAGTAGCGCTCTGAAAAACTAAAAGCTTCAACCAGAATCATGCCTATTGCATTGAGAAGGGGAAGTAGCGTAGTCAACAGATATACACAATGGCGGATCAAAACCGGAAGCACTACCCGACAACTGCTGGAAGAGGGTAGGCAGACGGAGCGAGCCAAAGAAACTAAGAGGACACAGATGTATCCCAGGACACAAGTCAGTATAAAGTCGACAATGACCTACCCAAATGGAAGCCCTCCATCATTGTTGGATTTCCGCTCTGAATCGAGGGTGGGGATTTGAGTGCAATAGAACTTGCCGAAAGAAAGATGGCACTGAGGAAGTTCTGGGTAAAGCACTATCAGGGGGTTCCCGAATTTAAGCAGATCTCTAAGAGGTCATCCACTAAAGAGAACGACTTGATGAGACAGACAAGGTCAACACTAAACCAGGTCAAAGTGTTTACCCCCTTGAAACATGGACATCGCTGGGGAACCTAACCCGATAATCAGGTCTACTCTCGTTTCGCATCAAAACAAAGCTGTCCAAGAGCGTATAAACGTCCTTTGCTCGGCCATGGAGAGGAGCACATTCCTCCCTGAGCGTCTCAACATTGAGGCTGCCATCACCGGCTATGATTCAGGCGCTATTCCCTGTTCTAATCAATACATACTCATATGGGCCGGTGCTATCGTTGACAGCTGTCCAGACTGTAATCGTTACCATGGACCGCAGTTTTCGTCTTGACCGCGATGCAGCCCAATATGGCCCTGGCTGGTTATGGGGTACGAGCCGCCGCTTTCAGCAGAGTGAGCTTGATGACTGGTCAAGAAAAGGTCCTCGCTAAGAAAGGAGTGTGTCATGATAACAAGAAGGGTTGGCGCGCAGGGTCAGAGAACACAGGGCACTTTCGTATTCCCATGGGCTTTCGACGGCAAAAGGAGATGGTTACAAGAGAGAGGTGTACCCACCGCGTGAAGGGGCGACTACAGGGCTCAAAACAAGCTCCTAGATTGCTCTTGACTTTGCAGTCGCTCACCAGATTAGAGCGCATTAAAGTCTCGGATATTGGCGAGAAGATCATCATGGTCCCTAACTCAGACAGCCCCATGGATCTATACACGACCCTCCTCGACACTGGCACATCGTTCTCATTCATATATGAAGCCGATTTACCTCAGCTCAGGATCAGCCCAGATAGCTACGCGGCCCAAACCGTGAAGATCGTAACAGCCTCTTTCACAGAGTAAACGCGTGTTTACGACATCTAAGTCTGCATCTATCCGCACTCTCTGCTCCCGAGCTCTGAAGTCACAACTAAGACCAAGAGGAAGTCAAGCAACATGGATTCCCCTATGAAGACCCAGATCTCTGCCGTTGTGGCCTTCACAGGCCGTACGGATGAGGAGGGCGACCCAGATGATATTCCCGAACGCCCGAACAACCTCCTCCCCCTTCATCCATTTTACATGACAGTACTCCGGGGAACCACAAGATATGGCTAGGGATAGCAAGGAGAAAGTGCTAGGTGGCGGACGGTTTCCAGTTAGCGGTAATGTCGCAGAGACCATGAAAAGGAAAAGGTGTCTTAAAGGGAAAGTTGACAAAACCGAGCTCATGCTACGCACGTCTACAAAAGATTGTCTTTGGGTTCGCTTCCGGTGATGGCTCCGGAATGGTGCTGCAAGACGAAGAGGGCGAGAAGCCCTCAGAGAAAGCATCTGTCCAAAAAGACTTGTTTGGGCTCGCGATGCTGGAAAGACTGCCAGTGAAGTCTTGGTGGTTGGGAAGGGAATAAAAAGCCTATCACATGATTAGACCAAAGGAGGTCCTAGGGGTAAACGAGGACTATTAAAACGAGAAGCAACCGAAGAATGAACAAAGTACCGTCTCAATAAAACGAAGACTTAATATTGAAGAAACATTGTATGATACACAGTCCCTAAATAACACCGTTCTAATGAGTACAACCAAGAGCACTAAAGGACATAAGATAATCAAAATACTCGAGAGAATGTATCTCTATTCGTTGGTTGCTTTTCTATAGCAGCTACCATCTTGCGGTAATCCCGGGGCAGGAGAATCCATCCATGACAGTTCACCAGGTAGAAAAAGCATCTTTTCAGCCCAAGTACCATGCTCTTTTGCCATGGGAAAGACATGTATCCTCCAAAGCCCGAACAAGCAAGACGCTGTGCAGCCAAAGTAAAGAGGCAGCTGCCCGTGAGAACCGGTGGCCTGAAGTGAAGGGAACCAGGCACTAGCAAGCCGGCTACCATTTCACTCCAGTGAGCGAAGTCATCGCTCTTCTCATCCATCAGGATCCCACGCACAACCCAAAGAATTTATCAATCTCCGTATTTTCAAATATCCGCCGTCACCAGATACCAACCCGTTTACTTATCCACTGTTGTCCTCCACAGATCTCCGATGGGTGCGGGACACAAAATTTTCTATGTCCGAGGTTGCCGATAAGTGGCATCCGCTCCACTCCAACGACCAACACAGAACCGCACCGCTGACATTTTTCGGGGTTTCGCTGTATAAAAAAAGATTAAACTGGACTGTTCACAACAGGGGGTATGGCGCAAACTCAAATATTGTGTGTGCCAATCGGTAACGATGGCGGCTATAATGTGACCGCAACAGAATGTCCCGAGGAAGAAAAATCAAGAGAAATAAAGTAGATAAGTCAACGCTGATGCCATGTCGCTAAATAAACCCGCTCAAACAAACAGCCAGATGCATGCAATCTTTTTGTCTTCCAAGTGGTATATCTCAAGTGACCCTGGAAAATGAAGTGGAAAAAAACAGGAAGTGGGGTGGGTTCTCTTCCCCTGGAAAGAACCCAATGTTGATGTAATGATCGGACTTTTGTTTATCAGCTTGACTGCAACATACACTTGCTCCCAGCAGCAACCTCAAAAGGACATGTGTGATGAAGCTCCATCAAAATAGGAAGACCCAACCACATGGTGTTGCTGTTGGTGCTGTTGGTGTTGATGCTGGAACTGCGGTTGGGCATATGACGTGTCGTGCTGACCTGGCTGTGGGGTGGGGGTGACTGGGCATCGTGGCAGTTGATAGTCCTTAACCATCGAATTGTTTGCGATGCCGCCATCGGGAGTAATGGGGGGAGTCATGTAGCCATCTGCAACACCAGGAACAGCACCCAAGCCCTTATGCGGGGTGCTGTACACATCAGTGGACTTATTTGAGTGATTGTGCTCTGAAGGAGGAGAGGGGGGAACACCACGGCGAGCGATGGCAGCCTGTTGGGCAAGGAAGTCGGCAAGTTTAGTCGATACTCTCGAGTAAGTGTTGCTGGCAAACTTCCTGGCAAGCGTGACCGAAGGGGTATGCAGATGTTGGGACAACGCCAACACTGTCGCATTCTCAGCTTGGTTCCACTCGCCATCGTTAACTTCAGGCTTGCCCAGGATGGCACGAGCGAGTGCAAGAGACGCCTTGGCCATGACAGATGGCTTCGTGGAAACAAAGTCACGATGGTAGAGAGCGATCTCGCAAATGTACTGAGCCATGTGTGCCACCTCTCGGCTGTCCCGTTCCTCAGCTACAACCAACTTGTGGAAAAAGTCAACAGTTGGGTGCCCGATGTTCCAGTCCAGGGTATTGAGGACGTGCATCTCCATCTGGGTGAACATTCCGGCATCGTAAAGCCCGCAGCACATGTTATTTAGCTCACTGATCTGGGGCACTCTGTCCTTCTTGTCTCCGTACTTCGCAGCGATAAGAAGGGCGGCACAGCCAACCAGCTGATAGTGCTGCTTGTACACCACACGCTTTGAGCAGTACCGGTCAAGGAGATTGACAGTGAGGAAGAGGGTCTCGGGCAACAGGGCGAATGCAGCGTGTGCCTCGACCAGGAAGTCGATGAGATAGGGTCGCATAAACCATTGTATCTCACGCTGCATGTCGATCAGGTTCGCATCTGGGAGAGTCTCCTCCTGTTCAGCTTGTCAGCAAATAGCTGTGACAGAAACGCTGCTTTAATGTTTCCTACCTCCATCTGGTGGATATGCTTCATGATGTCCTCCAGATATTCATCACAAGCCAACCTCGAGAGCTCGTTGGCAATCATCTCCTGTTTGTTCCGGGCGATCATCTTGGCAGCATCGCGCAGGCTCATGCGCTGGAAGCCAGGCTCGTCGGACTCAACGAAAAACGTGGCGTCGGAGGAATACCCTGAGGAGGCCATCTTGACGGAATGGATGAACAAAGTTACTCCACGTTAAGGTCAAGCTCGGCTGTGATGGTTCCGCACTAAAGGTCGAGTTCTCCAGGAATCCAGTTGCGGAAGTATGTTACAGTCAAGCGGTCGAGCCGAATGAATGAGACGTCGACCAGCTTTGATGACTATTATTAATTTATTAGAGAGCGTGAAGTAGAAGTATTGTGAAAGAGTGACAGTGGCTGGAAATAGCTGGGTGAATGTTGCAGAAATGGAGTATTTTTGAAAGGCGGATATGGGAGTGGGGTGACCGAAGGAATTTCAGCTCGAAATTATGTCGACTGTGGGCTTCTCTGTAATGATACTTTCATCAGCACGAGCGCATCCTCGGAAATTCCGATTTGCAAGTTAATTCAAAAAATTCGAACCGTGCCCGGCATTACAGTTCAGTTGAACTGTAAGTCCTGCTCGAGTTCAGACCTCATGACAATATCCGCTTTAATAAATGATAGCAAGTCAGGCATGAGACACCTCGGCCAGACTCGTCAAAGCGGCTCTCTGTAATGAATCAAAGTCTGGAAAGTATCCCTTACCACCACAGCTGCGGGCTAGATCTCAAGACCAACGCAAAATGACACAATTCCGTGGCCAACGCGGGAGCAACGAGCTAACGTGTCCCGCAACGAGGCAGTCCTTTGGTCGCCGAGTCGATCGACTTAAAGTGTGGAGATGCCGCAGATTGCAGATTGCAGTCGAATCGGCATGCAACTGCAAGGGCAAACGGGTGTTTGTCATCAGCTTGTTGGTCCGAACAAGTCGGCGGAATGCTTTCAAGGAACTTGATGTTTTGGGAATTGTGGAGACCTTTGCTTTGCAGATTGCACGTACCTCTCTCGCCCTCAAAGCCGCAGAAGGACCAAGGAAAAAATTGGTTCAAGCACTGATCGAGTTCATGTAGTAGACCACAAACCGATTCTGCCTCGAGAATCTCGCGGCAGCCCGTGCAGCAACCAATTCGTGTTCCAGTAGGATCAAGTTTCCCTAATCGCTTCCCGCCAAACGCGCTTCCAGAGACGAGGCCCGGAATCGACTCCAGTCGTGGTTGACTAGTCGCAGGACTTGAGTCCAGCGTTGGAACGAAGGGGGCAGTGTTGTGGAATTAACGGAATCTTCGAGGGCGAGACGAAGAGTTCCTAGGTTCAAGAAAGGGCGGAATGGATTCAGGGCTGAGGTGAAGAGCAGGGATCAGAGAGCCTTGAAAACCCGAATTTTGCAAAACTTCCCAGAAGAAGCCTTAAACCCGGGGTTTTGTCGCTTTTTCGTGCGGCTCTTGGATGCACCACTCCGATTGTGGCCTTGCAGGGCTGGATTCAGATGTGCCAAAGCCCAGAATCTAGATGTCCTCCTTCCCTCCTTTTTTCTCGGTCCGAGCAAGGGAGTCCACGGGTCTCGTTGGACAGGACGGTCCGGAAGAGGAAACGACTGGTTGCGGATGAAGGAGAAGAGGAAAAGGAAGGGGAAGAGGAGGTAAGGCGGAAGATCAGGTAAGGAGAAGGAGGAGAAGGAGGATGGAGAGGAAGAAATGGGAATGGAAAAGGAGAGCAGAGATTGGTTAACGGCCGATTTAAGACAAGGGCCCCAGCTGTGCCCACCGGCGGAGTGTGCACTGAGCACCAGACAGCCCGCAATAGCGGCCGTGTACTGAGGTACGTACTTCCAAGGCCCCCCGGTTTGGCCTTGTGCAGTGCGCAGGCGTGGAAAGCACCGCCAAGCAAGCGTGCAGGGAGGACCGCCAGACCATCCAGGCAGCTCAGCACCAATCCGTCTCCGCCAAGAAACCCGCTCTGGCAGCCCGCCCTTTTCGCTGCCAGGTTCCTCCTCCTTTTTTCTCCCCACATCTGGCGAGGTTCCGCTGTTCAAAAGGGCAGGGAATACCGCGCCAGATCCAGCCAGGGACCAAGGGGCCAGTGGACCCAGGGGCGTCCATCCAAGCACGTCCGCTCGCGGTGCTTCATCCGCTACTTACGTGTTCCGTAATCCGTACCCAGGTAGCGTCGTTGTTAGAGTACGGCACGCTACCTGCAGGCTGGCTCGTCTCTCCGTGCGTCCGCAACACCGTGGACTAGACGTTTTCGTCTCGACGTGAACGTTCTAAGAAGCAGGCGGTCTCATCACTACATAGTAGTGGACAGCCGCCTTGCAAGGCCGCTGCTGCGTGTGTTCCGTAGTTCACCTACTGACCTGCCCACTAACTGGAGGCATCGATGTACGTACTTACGAATTACTTACACCGTTGTTATCAAGATTGCTTCCTACCTCCCAGCAACGCTTATTCGTCCAAGATTGCGAGCAACATGTCGTACTCATCCAGGCACGCTCGGCCAACACGGGTCGTGCTTTGCACAGTGGTGGGCGACGACAGTCTTTGAGTGGACTCATCTCTCGGCGACGAGATCCAGGCCAGGTAGAGGGAGGGCAAGGATCTACGGCTGCGGTGCTCACTTGCAGCACCATCGACTCTGGTCAACCACTCAGAACAGCCAACGCGAGAGCCCCAGCATGCAATCCGCAGGAGGTGGATCAGAGCGAAATTTGCTAAAGTACTTCCACAGGCTCCTCGACGCGGCACCGCGTTGCCCGTGCTCAACTTAACACGTTCTGAACGTGACTTACCCATTACTTGGAGTTCCGTAGATTTTTACAGGCATATATCGCATACGTGGATGCCCATACGGATCCTTATCTTACATGTCGATATGCCCAGCAACGAACCATCGGCCAGCCATCCAGCTGCCTTTCCTGGATACCAGCTGCCATACAAAAACTCAGCTCATGGCTTGCCTCCGGATGACTGTGAAGGGATCTGCCATTGAAGGTAAAGTAAATCTCTTTTCCGTCATCGACTTGCTCGAGACCAGCATTCGATTCTTGACTGCTGCAAACAAGTAGTAGGCTGCGCATGATCGATGCAAATCCAGCGAGACGACGAAAGTCCGAATCATCAAGCCTCGAGTGTTATTTTCTCGATGCCTCTGTCCATATGGACTCCTCTGAAATTCGAACAGTTGCATTCCCTCCGAATATCACAGTCGGGAAGCCCAGCTTGATCAGCAAATTGAAACACCCAATGGGAGACTGCCTCGCGGTATTATGATTAAGCGTGCCAGTGAAGATCTCCAAAGCTTTTGAGGGATATGCAGCCGTGCTTTCGTCAGGCCGTTTGCTCGTAACTTGGTCTTTATCTAGTCTTCGGCTTTGGAGATATAACCTTCTCAGTATTTTCTCACAGATGCATCGTCATTGATTCCTGGAACTGCTGGCTCTCAGCACGCCTGGGCTCAAAGCTTACGTCAGTGATTGTGTGTTTGGCAGATCGGCTTTTCATGCCGGTGAAACAGGCTAGACAGCCATTTGCAACGTCTTGCAACACGGGAAATATGGTGAAGGGAACCACTTATAACGAAACGTCGCTTCCTTACAAACCCCGTGGGCATCCCGGACAACTCCTCCACGCGAGGACAGAACCGAGGTTGGTGCACAGTGTGCTGAGTTGAGATACGTCAAGGCCAGAGCAGCTGCCAACCATCAACTGGCATCCTCAAGTTTCTCAAACGCTGGTCTCAGCTCGAAGTATGCGGGATTGTCTCTTATCGACAGCTCAATTGTTGTGATACCGCGTATCATGTTCCCCCACCAACACAACTGCCCGGATCTCCCCTCAGTTTCAAGAATTAGCATGGTGAATGAGACGCGTCCTGTTGTTGGCTTCAACGCGTCCGCGTTTAATGGGTTCTCTTGACCAATAGGAAGAGAAGACTTCCATGGCCCCACCCCTAAAAGATGTTCCAGTTGCGGCCGCGGGCAATGGTAGCCAGGGTGGAGGTTTGACGACGGCAGCGTCGTGACCATTTGCAAGGAGCTCGGCTTACAATTCCCTCCTCCCATCCTTTGCTGTTCTTTGTGTAGGCGCTGTTGTGCAACATCACTGCTCGTCCAAACCGATAGCAGCATTGCGGCTCTTAGTGCCACAGCTTTTGTCCAAATCCAAACTGATAATTACAGTCTCACATCAAGCTTTGAGTCTTCTCTGCGCATATCTTCAGGGTTTTGGCCCTCCCACAGCAAGCCGCCGACGCCTCTCAGGCAAGTCAGACAATCACCAACCAATCGGGACTACGCAACGCGACGCTAGAGACGACTAAATCAATGCATGTCAGGTCCAATCGGTTGGTCAGGTCCGCTGGAGGTCTGTAACACCACAACACAAAGGTTAGCGAATTCGTCGTCCCACGATGCATGCTGCAGCAATCCCGCGCGAGATCACGCTTTTGCCTTCCCGATTACTTGGGCTGAACCCTCTAGGCCACACCTGCGAATCGCAGAACCCAACTCCAGATAGCCGACCCTGCGATGTCGCCATCCCTTGGCTCAGCTCAATAGACCTGCGCGGAGACATGGTTCCTTTTTTGTACCCAACCAACGAAGGCTTGTTCAGACAACAGCAGCTTACGATCATGATCATCATTCCCCCAAGCATTGTTGCCAGATTCAGACAGCGTTCCCCCCAGCCTTCTGCCGTCGAAGCGATTCGTTCCCAAACGCCTGATAGCATGGAAACTCTGCTCTTCGATGGTTAACGAGAAACTCTTCTATCATTACGAATCAGGTAGCGCATCACTGCCAACCTTTCAACAACCAGACCACGGCTCTCAAAGATCTCAGTGCCCAGCTTAGCCGCAGCCTGCTCTGCCTTACATTCTTATTATACCCCTGCCGCCCCACGGACCTGTATCTCGGGGAGGAAAAAGAGGGGCAGAAGGTGAACGACACAGCTCTGCCTTTTCTCTTCTACTGATATCATCTCCCCGATCACTCTTTCTTGTCCTTTAGTGGCCTCTCCTGCCCGTCCGGTATGCGAAACAATAGCTCTTCTGATGTCTTCCTCTGCAAGCGTCAGAGTGATTAAAACACGGCAGCCTCTCGGCCCTGTTGTAGGAAAGCTTGCTTGATTCTTAAAACTACTAGGG